TGTATTTGTTAGATGAAGGAAAAAAAGAAAACTACAATCCTTGAAACAAATAGCACAGTGCATGGCACTGAGTAAATTATTAATAAATGCATTTTTATTTAATAGGAGCTGTTAGGTGGCACAGCGATTTAACAGCTGGCTTGGAATTAGGAAGATCTGTGTTTAAATTTGACTGCAGATACTTACTGGTTATGTGACCTTGGGCAAGTCACATAACTTCTCTGTTATAAAGATAACCCCAGACTCAGTTCCAAAGACTGGTGTCTCAAACACTTTTTATTAAAGAGGATGAAGTGCGCCATTTCAATTCTCCCGAGAACCGGGCGCACCTCCTTGGAAGGGGAGAAAATGCTCGAGGTAAAAGAAGTCAGCAATCTTTATAGTAAGTAACTGCCTAACTCCTCCCTTCTGGATCAGGATTGGTCCTAATCCTTTTGGGTTGCAATCTTCCTTATATGCCCCACCCCTAACATACATGATGTGCCTAGAATTGTATTATCACTCCCCCCACGTTGGACGGAGAAGTTAGCCTGTCTGTGCTGATTTCTTATCTACTTATGTGGAAACATAACTCTTTCATTTCTCACATCTCTTTGCCTCAGTTTCCTCATCTGTAAAATGGGATAATAATGACACCCAACACTCAGGGTTGTGAGGATCAAATGAAATAATAATTATAAAATGCTTAGCAAAGTGCCTGGCATACAGTAGATGCTAAATAAATGCTAGATATTATTATTACTGTTTTTAGCTTAATAAATGCTCTATCAAAATAAGCATGAAAATTAATTAAATTCACATATTTGCCATGTTCAAAAATTCAGGGAGGACTAGCACCTCTGGTCTGAGGACCTGCCAAGCCCCTTTTCAGAGCTGCTCATCCACCTTTGGGGTCCACTTTCATCCAACTCTCACCTGTGGCTCCCAGCACAGCAGCCACACCCCAGTAGCTCTATGGACAGACAGGTTAAACCAGGCCTCAAACCTGTCAGTGAGATAGGGGGATGTCCACCCCAAGCATGTGAAGACTTTCCCTGGCAGAATAGGCAGATGAGAACAATTCATTCCAACAGCCATGCAAGTGGTTTGAAGCAGCATTGTGGAGCGTGTAGAGCTTGGTTGGGCATTGACGATGCTAACGTCATCCACTGTATCCTGGGCTATTGCTAATTGTCTTGACTTTTGTCTTGCCACTGGACTTAGATGACTCAGGAAGAGAGAGTGAGGCTTCTGACTTTGTGCAACTCTGCCTCACTTAAGTCCAATTCATGAAAGATTCCATGATGTCATTGGTCCTTTTCAAAAACAGAGAATGAATAACAATGTCTAATTCTGTCTGTCTGTCAATAATGTCTATCTCTTAGAAGATGAGTAGCATGCTTTCTCAGAAAGAGAAGATGTTCTGATGGAGGAATCAGCACACATTTGGGAATAGTGGTACAGGAGGGGTATTTTGGTCCTGAAAGTTACCTGGATGTTAATGGGAGCTGGAGTGGAGTAGATAGGTAGATCCTATCCAGGAACAATGGCAGAGTTGATTGAGTTCAAGGTTCCAGGATTGGAGGGTAAGAGGAAAGTGAGGAAGTATAGTAGGAAGCTGTGGAGAAGGTAGCCTGAGGAGAGGCAGTGAAATGACACGTAGCTGGGATTTTCTAGAGAGTTGCCAGTCAGGAGAATGGCACCCCAGGAGAAAAATTCCTCCAGGCTGTGGTCTTTGGAGTGGGTGGGGAGGCAGTTGGACCAGATTCTGTGTAGTAGGGATCTGGATGTGAAGGGCTGGGGCTTTCCTGAAACAGTATTCTTTTGACCAAGTGACTCTTGGATTTAACCAATGCCCGGGGCTTCCTATCACATCAAGCATAAAATATGTACTCCTCTGTTTAACTTTCAAAACCCTATACAACCTGATCCCAACCTATCTTTCCAGACTCAGTGGGCATTAGTCCCTTTCCCATACTTTGCAATCCAGCCAAACTTGCCTTCCATCTGATACTCCGTATCTATGACTTTACATGGTCGATCCCACATGCCTGGAATGTCTTCCAGTCTTATACTGCCCGATAGAGTCCTTCTCTGCCTTTAATATGCAGTTCAGAGACCAGAGGGAAATAGCCAGTAAACACGAAGAGATTCAAGGTAAATGAGAGTGGAGTTGAGAGAAGGGGAAATCTGATGAAGAAGACGGGATGGAACGGAATGGAATCACGTGTAGATCACCATCACAAGGAGACTCACTTTACACTAATACAGCAAGGATATTTGAAAAGAGACAGTGGCACTTGCTTTCTTTAAACACTGTTCCCTCCTCCCACCTTGGCTCTATATGGAGAGCTCAGGTCAGCAAGGCAGGCAGGGTAACATTACTGAAACAAGCTTTGTAAAACCACCAAGTCTGAGGGACCTAGATTCCAGGACGTGTTATATGCTCTTAGATGACCAGGAAGCCACATCAGAGAAGCCAGGGTTAATCACACAGGCAAATTAGGTACCAGAAGCAGCTTCGTTTCTTTTAGGCAAAGCCTCCCCATGTTGCAGGTGGCAGGAAAGAAGAGAAATGTGGTCCTGTTCCAGCTGCCAAAACAGTAATGTGGGAGAGGCAGAGATGATGACATTTCCCTGTGTTGATCTCTCCCAATAATTTGACACTGTTGACCACTCCTTCTTCTCCATATTCTCTCCTTGCTGGGTCTTTGTGACATTTGCCTGTTCTGATTTTCTTCCTACTTGTTGGACTTCCCAGACTCCTTTGTAGAATCAATATCCATAACCCATTGCCTATGTGTGGGTGTGTCTTAGAACTGGGTCATGAGTACTTCCCTCTTCTTTTTCTACACTCTGTGTCTTGGTGTTCTGGTTAATTCCCTTGGAGTGAACTATCATCTAAATACAGATGGCTCCCAAATCTACAAATCTAGCCCTCACCTTTCTCCTTAATTTTCAGTTGCTAGGTGATCATTTCTACCCGAATGTCCTGCAGACATTTCAAATTCAACATATCTAATACAGAATTCATTCTTTTTACCCCTAAACCCACTCTTCCTCTCAACTGCCTTATTTTTGTTAAATTCTTCCAATCATCTGGTCTCACATTCTAGGAGTCATCATCAATTCTTGACTCTCCCAAATCTCCCATATTCTATCATCAGCCAAATCTTGTCAATTCCATCCCCTCAACACACTTAGATCTATCCTTTATCCCTAGCTCCTAATTGGTCTCTCTTCATCCATTTTCAATCTGCCTTCCACACAGCTGTCAAATTGATTTTCCTAGATCATGTCACTCCTCTGCTCAAAAAGCTTCAGTGACCCCCTATTGCCTCCAAGACAAAATAGAAACTCCTTTGTTTGCTATTGAAAGCCATTAGAAGTCTGGCTCTAGCCTTTCATTTTAGGCTGATCAGACATTACGCTTGTTCAGGCACTCTGGCTCAGCTACTTTCTATCCTCAGTATAAGACATTCTATCTCCTGCCCTCCATACCTTTATAAAGGCTGGTCCTCATTTCTGGAATGTTCTCCCTCCTTACTTCTACCTCTTGGATGCTCTAGTATAAAGGCTTAGGCCAAATGCCATTTCTTTTACAAGAGACTTCTCCTGGTTCCCCCAGGTTGTTAATGCCAGTTACTCAATCACTCTGCATTTATTTTGCATAAATTCTATAGTTATTTATTTATTTGTGAATCTGTGGTATTCCCCCAATAGAATGAGGGCAAAGACTAAGACCACTTTTTTATTTTGTATTTGTATCCCCAGTGCTTAGCACAGTGCTTGACACATAGTAGGTATTTAATAAATGTTTGTCTGTAGGTTAATTCCTGCTGCCACATGACTATCCATCTTATACTTGTATCACACTTATTTGTATACATGTCCAAACTCCTACTTCCCCTATTGGATTTTAAGTTTCTTGAGTGTGAGGAGTATTGTTTCGTCTTCTTCTTCTTCTTCTCTTTTTTTAATAGCATAGGGCCTTGGTGCTTATGAAATGTTTTCTTGAACTGACTTGAATCTTGGCTATCACTAGTCTGACCTTGGTGAGCCAGTCACTTAACCTTTTTGAGCCCTGGCTTCTTCATTTTAAAGAAGGGGGCTTGGATTAGATGATTTCTAGTATCTATAGATCTTTGCTTTAAAAAAAACCCCAAATTATATTCTTTTCATGATCTCTTTATAGTATGCGGATTCAGGTTCAACTTTCAATAACAAAATTCAATAAACTTGATTCCTTAATCATAAAATATTGCTTTCTACATTATTTGTCGCCAAAGACTATAGACACAATGTATCACAAAGATGTAATTGATTTTACACCTGGTACCATCACCTGAAGTGAGAAAGACTAACCAAAATATATATACTCTATGGGTCTTTGATTCTGTGACTAAACCTAATGTAGAAAATATCAGCTAAGGGAATTGCTGTGGTGCAATGGAATGAGTGCTGACGTCAAGGGGACCTGAGTTTAAATTCTAGCTATCACTTTCTGTGTGACCTGGAGGAAACTCTATAACATCTCTGGGCCTCAGTTTCCTCATCTGTAAAATGTTGAACAAAATAGATTCTAGAGTCTTTTCCAACTCTAAATCTATGATGATTAAAAATCACATCTGTGCCTAGAGAAAATAATGGGGTGCCCATCTTCACTTTAAAACAACTGGTATCATATATAATTCACCAAATTACTGAGGTGGATGTGGGAAAAGACTTATCTTTCTATGTATTTTATCTTTTAAAAACAGTCTAAAGACTACTTCATTCACTTTATTTAACAAGCACTATTGAACAAAACGCACTGCACTAAAGATAGAGATTGGAGGATACCTTATAGGGCAATGAGAATGTCAAGAATGGGAATAGATAAAAGAGAAATTAGAAAGGCAGAATCAATCCCTTCTAGCTCTGTCATTTTCTGGTTCAATGAGGCTGCAAGTGTTTGGATTGCAGGGGGTGGGGAAGAGGGAGGAGTTAGAAATGATTTCCAAGTTCAGTCTGGGTGGGGAGATGAAAGGCAGCCTGGCGTGATGATGTCAAAACTTAAGCCAAGACACCTGGTTTTGAATCCCAGCTCCAGTACTCACTTGCGTCGGCCCTTGGGTAAGTTATTTAACTTCTCAGATTCTCAATTTCTTAATCTGTGAAATGGGCAATGATAATAATCGTACTGCCTATCTCAGACTCGAGTAAGATGTTTTGTTAACTTTTAAGTGTTATATGCATATGAATTTTAAACAATAAAAAGTACAGAGGAGTTTGTGAGGGAAAATTTTGAATTCGGTTTTAGATTAAGTTTAAATTAACTGGAGAAATCCATAGTTATTCACCGAGGTGATGGTTGAAGCTAGGGAAGCGGGTGATATTTTTTGAAGGGTAAGTGTATTAAGAGTAGAAGAAAAAAAAGAACGTTGGTGAATGCCCACTTTGTGTGTATGGTGGTGGTGGTGGAGGGAGGTGGAAAGGAAAATGCAATTAAGAGAAGTACTGTTATAAATATGAGAATGCATCATGGAAGGGAAGCTGAGGGAGAAGTATCACTTTTAATGAAAAAAGTCCAATTTTCAGAAAGCCCTTCGGCAAAGTTTACCCCAGGTCTCTGATTCTCGTCTCTTATCTACGCATTTATCATTTTTATAGGGTTTCCTGGTTCTCCAGTTGTTATCATCTTGCGAGTTTTATAGACTATCTCGCCCATTATTTCTCCTGATTCTTTACTCTAGGTCTGCATGCTTCGGAGGGGGTCGGGCTCCCTGGTCTGAATTCAAGTTTTGCCCGTTTACTACTGTGCCAGGTAAGTTGGTGGACGAAAGCAGGTCACGCACGTTTGATGTAACCATGGCCCCACTTCCCCTCTCCCTCTCGCCAACTCGGCGTGATTCCTTGGCTCGTTGCTGCAGAGGTGCGTGCTAGGTATCGCCCGCCCTGGTGCCAGCTCCACGGCTTGGTACCACCACCCATAAGCCCTTGGTGATCCCCACCCTCCCTGATGCCAGGAAGGCGTCCCATGCCCAGCCAGGCACCAGGGCTGCGCTTTTAAACTGGTTTAACTAGTTTCTCCGGAGTTAGTCGGCCGGGAAGAATAAAGCCTATGGGGCAGTGGGAGCGCCTGACAAACTGAGTACAGGTGGAGGCCGTTTGCCCCTTCAGGACCCCGAAAAGGCTACCAGGTGGATTGTTTTCACACAGGCTGCTCAGCTCTCCCGAAAAAACACTTGATCCCGACCTACGCGTCCACCCATCCCTCCCTGCACCCCTCCCCAGCTACGCACTGCGCAGACGCTGGCGATGTGCGCGCTCTGCCGCGGAGGGATGCTTCCTGGGAGTTGTAGTTCACCGCCTGGAATGGGCTCCTCCGCCAAGCCGGGCGCTTCCATCTCTCAAAGACTACAGCTCCCGGCGTCCTCCGCGCGAGGGCACCGAGCGTCGTGTCTTTGACGGCCTCCGTCGTGTGTCCAAAGGAAGGAAAGGCTACCGGGGAAGCCGGCAGCGGCGGGAGGAGGGGATGCGCTTGCGCGTTGCCCGGCTGGCCCCGTTCCGTCCCAGTCATTGTAAACAGGCGGCGGCGTAGAAAAGCTTGGGTGGGGTGGTGATGGGGCGCCTGGGGCTTGCCCGGGGCGCGGCCGAGGGGGCGGAGGCGGCGTGAGCGCGAGGCGGCGGCGGCGGCAGCAGGAAGAGGTCGGTCGCACAGCGGCTGGGGCAGGTCAGTCGCGTGTCCGGAGTCGCCGCAGTTGATCCTCTGGCTCTTTGGGGGGTTTCCTCCCACCTTTCCACGGGGCGCTGCGCCCCTTCCCGGATCCCATGCCACGTGAGGGTTGCATACTTCCGTTTCCCCGGTGCCTGTCAGTTACCGCCCCCCTCTCTCACGACTTCAGGGGTTGGGGGAGGGGGCGTGGTCCTGGAGAAGGGGGGTGTCAGACCTTCATCCCCGCTCCCCACTTACCCTGGGCAGGTCCTCCTTCCTGTGAGTCCCGCGGCCGCGTTTGGGGTTGGGTGTGTGGGAGGTCGGGAGGTCGGGAGGTCGGGAGGTCAGGCTCATTCTCCCACCTCGGTGCCCAGGGCCCTCCCCAAAGGCCTTCCCGAAGTCGGCCTTTCAAACCAAACCCAACCAGACCTCGGGCAGGACCAGGAAAAGGCTCTCCAGGTCTTCCCCTGCAGGGTAGACGCCCCTTTGACTGGAAACATTAGGGTTTGCTTAAGACAGTGCTGTGGCCCTTGGATTTAGGCTTCAAGAAGTGAAGAGCTACTAGGATCCTACATTGAGAGCCGGGATAGATCTTGGAATTCATATCCTGCCTTGGACCCTTATGATTCGTGTGCAGGAGTCTTTCCGAGACTCTGTTTCATCACCTGTAAAATGGGGATAATAAAACACTAGCTCCTAGGATTGTAAGGATAAAGTGAGATGCTTGTAAATCGAGTTGCAAACTTAAAAGAACTCTAGGAAATGGTATTGTCTAGTCAGGGGTTCCTAAGGTGGGATCAGTGTACCCAGAGCATAGAGTTCATGGATTGGGATGGGAAAAACATTACAACTTTTATTTTCACTTGTCTCTAGCTGAAATTTATAATTTCTTTGAGTTATTTTAAAACATTCTTAAGGTCCATAGACTTCACTAGCCTATCAAAGGGGGTCCATAACACGAAAAAGGTAGTCCAGCTCCCTGCACTTTACAAGTGAGTGGTTAAATAACTGATAGGATTTGAATCCAAGTTCTCAGGATCCACATTCAGCACTTTTCCCCTAATGGTTTTTACTGGTTTTCCCTCCTGCCTGGAACACTCTTTCTCCTCACCTTCTGCCTCCTGCTTTACCTGGCTTTCCTCAAGTCTCATCTAAAATCTTGCCTTCGCTAACCTTTCTTGATCAAAGCTTCCGTACCTTCTGAGATTATCTCCAATTTATCTTATCTTGTTTGTGCATATTTGTTAGAATATTGTTCTCTGTATTAGATTGTGAGCCCTTTGAGGGAAAGGACTGTCTTTTCCTTTTTTCTTTTTTTGTGTCTCCGGTTCTTAGCACAGTACCTAGTACATAGTAGGCCTTTAATAAATACTAGTTAACTTGATGTCGTCTTTTCAGGATTAAGGCTTTTTTGGACTCACTTCTCAGATTCTTTTATGCTGAAACACTCTTTTGGGAGGTAATTGGGCAATTGGGGTAAAGTGACCTGCCCAGGGTCAGCTGATAAGGTCTGAGGCTACATTTGAACTCAGGTCATATATCCACTGCACTACCTAGTTGCTTCTGTGCTAAAACACTCCGATATCGTTAAAAAAAAATTCTTTGTAGTCTGAGAATGAAAATTATCTTTGTAGTATGAAAATTAAATAGTCAGCACCTCTGTATCTGAAACAACTATGGTTTTGAGATCTGAAAATCACCTTTTTAAAGCCCTTATGTAATCATTTAGTTTTGTGAAATTAAATTTAGTGAAATAAGTCTGGGAAGAAACCCCAAACTAATATTGTTATTTAGGTGTAGCAAACCCTTTACTGAAGAGTAAATATTTTCTGAGTATTCATTTGAACACAGAGCTTACATTATCACCTTCAGTACAGTTTAATTGAATTTTGTGTTTTGTGTAATGTTGCTAACTTATTCTGAATAATGTCTAGCATTCTGCCATTCTTCTGTGGCTGTTTACAAGATATGATAAAGTAACACTGTCACGAGTAAGTGAAACTTGGAGATTCAAAGATAACATGACAGTTTCGTTCAGAATTATCCAGCTGTCATAGAGTAGATTCGATGAATTCCCTCACTGATTTATTTCCCTCTATATAGTGTTCATTAGTGATAGTTGAATATAATAGTGAAGAAAAAACTATAAATAGGTATTGGTTTCCCAGTTTGTAAATGAATGATAAGCTCTGTACTATAGATACAGTAGTTCAACATTCAGCCAGTTAGTAAACACTGATTAAGCACCTCCTGTGTGCCAGGCACCCTGTTAAGGACTTTAACCATTTGGAAAACATTACGTTATACAAAAGTCACTTTAAAAAATATGATTACTAACTTGTATGTTCTCTCATATGCTCCTTTTTCCTTATCCTACAAGATTTAAAAGACCAGAAATGTACTTGAACATTCAGATTTTTGATTTGTTCAACTGTTTGTAGATGAATGATTTGTTTAGTACTATCTCTTTACCTGGGCAATTGTACCTGGGTAGAGTGAATAACTAGAAAATTTTTCTTTTCGTTATTTTTAAATTTAATCAAGAACATGAACTTATTTTCTTGGTTTTATTTTTTTCTAGCCTTCTTAAATATTTATTGATTCCCTGTTTTGTGCTAGGCATTGTATAAGATTGTTTCTGGCTTCAAGAATCTTTATAATGTGTTTGAAAAGATAAAACATTCATTCAACAGACAATGTATTTGTAATCTACTACGTGCAAAGTACTTTACTAGGGACTGTGGAAAATATGAATAGCAAGATATGACTCCTGCTTCTAAGGAATTTACAGTCTACTGGAGGGAGATAAGACACATACATAAATGTTACCCAAAATAGGGTATTTAAAATGCATAAGAAAGGTACAAAGTGTTCTGAGAATTTGTGTTAGGAAGAGATGATCAAGTTGGAAGGGTATCATAGATACTTTTATAGAGGTAGTGGTATTTGATCTGAACCATGGAGGATCTAGGAATAGGACTTGACGTAAGCAAAGATATAGAAGTAATAAAGCAAAAGTAGTTTGGGGAAATGCTGAGAAAGTGTGGTTTAGCTGGAGTATTGGTTCTGGATAGGGGAGTGGCATGTGATAACTTTGAGATGAAGATTCAAACAGGAATTGGATTGAAGAGAGGGGAATGGAACTAGAATGCTCAGTGCCTTGGATACCAGGTAAAGAATTTCGGACTTTATTTTGTTGCCAGTGGAGAACTATTGAAAGTTTTAGGGCAGGGAAGTTAAACTGGTATAGTGGAAGAGGATGAGATGACCTTGGTTTCAGTCCCACTTTTGTTATTTCAGGAAGCTATTTTATCAAAGAAGCTGTTAACCTCTTTGGTCCTCAGTTTCCTAACTTAATTGTGGGGATTGAACTAGATGATTTTGGAGCTATTTTCCATTTCCATTAAAGTGTAATTGGGCAATATTTAATAAAAATACATAAAAATACAATAGAACATAGTGTTAATATGTGGTTTTCTAAGTCAGTATATAGCCAGCAGGGATCCTTATGTATGGTTTAGTGCCCCCCCTGCCCTGCTCCTTCTTCTTTGAGTTTGACCACTGGTCTAGAGAGGTTCTGGCTGGAGATAAATATAGATATTTGTCATCAGCATAGAAGTGATAATGAAAACCTTGTGGAATGGATAAAGGCATCAAAAAAGAAAGTGTAGGGTTAAGGACAGAGTCTTAAATGTGTAAAAAGTTAAGTAAAAAGTTAAATAACAGAAAGCAGTAATACAAAAAAAAAACATAGTATCTTAGATTTAGAGTTGGGAGGGACCTTAGATGCCATGCACTCCATCTGCATTTTACAGAAGAAGGAACCAAAACCCACAGTGATCAAATGACTTTCCTAAAGTCACAAATTCCAAGTGGCAGGGCTGGGATTTGATGTTGCAGGGCATGTGGTTCATTGCCGAATAGGTGGCATGTATGGTAAGTGTTATCAGAGGAGTTCAGAGTTGAGTGAGGCTACTTTGATTAGAGAAGTCTTCATGATAAGGTAGAGGATTTTTATATATTGAGAGGAAAGGGCATTTTTTCATACACCCTTGTTTTTGAAGACTGTAATAATCTTTTTCATCCTGTGATAGCACCTACCTCCCAGG